ATATATATATATATATATATATATATATATATATATATATATATATATATATATATATATATATATATTACATGCTCTTTTTTTTTAGCTGAAGTTACGTGAATTGACTTGTCAGGTTCTGGCCATGTTCTTAGCATTTTTTTGGTCAGCAGTATTGAATCTCAGGTCAGAGTAAGACTGGAAGATTTAGGGGTGGAAACACCGATGTGAATTAATGGTGCTCTAATTGAATAGAATTTACATGAAAAGAGGAACTATTTCTATTTTAGAAAGTAATCTCTAACTGGCGTGTCTTTAATTACACAGAAACGACTGAATGGACTTCGAAAAAGTTCCAGGCATATGGACTCAGGTTTGTCTGATACATTTTTTTAAAATTTACTAATAAAAGCCGAGGCGATTGGAATTGATTTGTCATATTATTGCCCTGTTTTTTGACTTCCTTCCAACTCAAGGACTTATTGTACATGTTTTCATAAGCAGACTGCAGAGATGTAGTTTGCTATCGGTTCTAATCTCATGCATGTTCCAGACCTGGTAAGATAACAAAATAGTGTAATGTTATAGTAATGTTTTTATTTGCCCGGAGTAACAGGGTTCATGTAACTCTCTGATAGTCACAACAGGATTTTTTTTAAAGGTTTCTGATCTTTTTAAAGGGCCAGAAAGGATGTAACAAAAAGTAATAATTCACCCCTACCCAAATCTCTCCTTCCCCTTTAAACTGGAAGATGTTTACCTCTGGGCCAAAAAATAAAATCATTTTATGATATAGGCTACATATTGGGTTTGCCCCATAAACCTCACCAAACTAGATTGTTCCTGCCAAATCTAGGAAAGGTTCACCAGCCATGTCCTCTGCATCCCTGTGCAGTGAAAAACAAAGGGCTGAATGTTATTGCCCAGCCTTGATTTAGAGTAGAGGTTATTTAGATAAAACTGGGATTCTTATCAGCCTATATCTAATAACCTACAGCTAGTACAATGTTTTTTTTTTCCTTCTTTTTCTTCTGTGCCACTTACATTCTGCAGGGACTTGGGGCAGTATTTCCAATTTTATCCTTGCAACTTGTTAAATTAAGAGGTTCAGATTGCCCCATATGGTTCCCTAATTCTGCAACGAGAGTTTGATTGACCAGTTTAGTATTATTACAACTGCTATGCTGGAGCAGTAGAAATTTTTGACATTCCGGGCATTTCAGCCGTTAGAACACCTTATTTTTTTTTGACTGATACTTTTTAATCTTGCTGAATTCTATAGCTTAGATTCAAATAAGCCGCAAGGCTTCTAATTACACTCCCGTTTTCAGTGCTTCAGTCGTATGACTAATTAAACCCTAGATACATCTGGTTGCTTTGTTTTTCTTTTAAAAAATGCGCTCTTAAACTAGGTTTATATTCCTAGAGCTTCTGGGCTATTGGTTAACTCCCCCCCCACCTTAAATTGAGAAGCTAGTTTTAACCTTGGAGTTAATCTTACCAGCGATGTGTGTTCTTAGTTACTGCTGTTTTACCCTGGAAGCTGAAGATAGTAAGAATCTTGAGGTGTGACTCTCCGAGCACAATTCAGTTTAATCGCTGCTTAATACTCAATAATCCCTTATAGTTTATAATCAGCTATTTTAAATGCAGTTACCAGGAGTATGTTTATACACACTGATCTTATGTCTCATGAGAAATATTTTATTTCATTGGTTTCATTTAATAAATTTATAGCTTATTTTTCAACCGAATTGTCCCCATAGTGTAAATACAGCAAACTATAATAAAATCAAAGAGTAACAAACTAATATAAATACAGAATCAGGTAAAATATCCCAAAAAAGCCTCTGAAAAGATAACTACTATATATTTGCAAAACATAAATAAGCACAACAGAGTCCACATCTTAAAAATTGGCATTCTGGTTCTTCTGAAATCATCTTCAAGGAAGGAGCGGATAAAACGATTAAAGGACAGAAAATGTAGAGGGATCGAAACAATAATCCTACATCTTTTAATACATAACTGATCCCATACAGAGAAGACCAAGATTGGAATGGTTTTAGACATGGTTGAGCTTTTACAGAATGTTTTACTTTTGATATGAGGAACAACAACTCCAAAAACCAAAATTGCCGTGAATTTGGTCCAAATGGCTGTCCATATTTTGTAAGTTGCAGCTGTTGGGTATCTTGGTGCTTTCAGATGGGTTGGTTTTCATTCCCATCAGCCCCTGTAGGTAGGCCCAATGAATGGAATTGTAGTAAAAAAAAAACACCATCAGGTTACCTGAATTTGGGGTTTTTTTTGGGGGGGGGGAGAAGAATTGGAATTGGTGTCTGGCGATGGATGCTGCCTTTCTTCTGCTCATTACTGATAGAAATGTGGAGTCCTTGATGTTCTCGGTGGTTTTGTGTACACGTAAACGCCAGGGGTGGGTTGCTGTCGGCATTATTGCCGGTTCGGTGCACGTGCAATTTTGCCAGACACACCCTCCACGTGCGTGCACAGTTGCCCATAAATAGGTCTGCGCATGCACAGAACATTAAAAAAATTTAAAAAATAACATGCTGCGCCAACCGGGGAACCAGTTCAGAGGCATGGCAGGCCTGGATCGTTGTCAGTTCTGGTGACCCAGGCCGGCAAACCACTTACCGGTTCGGTGAAACCGGTGGGAACCTACCTCTGGTACACACACACACATACACACACACACACGCAAATGTACACACACACTTATTAGTCAATTAGACTGCCAGGTAAAGATGACTCAAAGAGTGGGTGGGCTTCAAGACCCCTTTTATATCCAAAGTCCTTGTTTTGTTCTGGTTGTTTGGACTTGGGGAAGGCCTTCCCATCTGCTCAGGCCCGACTTCCAATTCAGGTGACATTTTTTCCCCTTAACAACTTTTTTTCCTTCTTAACTACTTTCCCTGACAGAGTTTTTCCTGACTTTTGTCCACCCTGCTTGCTTAGGTATGGCATCTTAGGCCTAGTCTCACTGTAATTCCTTGATTTGCATATTGTTTAGTGCTTGATTGGTATTAATCATGATGATAATCTCAGTTTAGATCATTGTTGATTGCTGTGGAGGAGGTGTTCTGGTCATTTTGTTTCCATTTTAGAGTTTTAAGTGTCTCTTTTGAATGATACGTAAACATTGTTTACCTCTGTGTGCCTGTTGATGGTTAATTTGTCTGAGTGCCAAGCTTCCAGGAATTCCTGGCATTTTTTGGGACTTAGCTCAGTGTAAGACACTCACAATTTCCAAATTGAAACTATGATTACATCTGTCCATATGGATCCATATGTAAACATAAATAGAGAGCACATCCCTTCTAGCACTTAAGAAGTTATCTAGTTTGGTAATGAAAGCTCTATGGTTCCACCACAAAACCGCGGTAGACAAAAGCGCGGTCAACGAAAGCGCGTATGTGACGTCATCACAGCGCGACGAAAAAGATCGAAAAATGTAAAAATAAAGCGAAAACCTTACCCTAACCCCCCCAAACCTAACCCTAAACCTAACCCTAACCCTTAACCTAACCCTAAACCTAACCCTAAACCTAACCCTTAACCTAACGAAAAACCTAACGCTAACCCTTAACCTAACGCTAAATGTAACGCTAACGCTCTAAACCTAACCCTAACCCTTAACCTAACCCTAACCCTAAACCTAACCCTTACCTTTATGTGAATCGGCTTGCTGTAATTTAATTTTTATTTCAATTTTTCGATATTTTTCGTCGCGCTGTGATGACGTCACATACGCGCTTTTGTCGACCACGCTTTTGTGGAACACGGTTTTGACGGGTCACGAAGCTCTACAACATTAGAGAGACCTTTGACTCCACAATTCAACCCTGAGCTACAAATAATCTCTTCTATTGATGGTAATGAATGTTATGTCAGGGATTGTAGTTTCATACCTTTTTAAAAAGTTGTGTTGAACTTGGTTGAGTAACATGCACTTCTTTCATCTAAATCAGCATTCTTCAAACAGAAATATTTTTCAGATATTTGGATCATATTTCCCATCAACCTTTTGTCTGATTGGGGAAGCCTGGGCTGAATAAATAAAATCAACTTATCAGATTGGGGAAGTCTGGGCTGAATAAATAAAAGCATGCAATATTTTTTTCTCCTTTAATTCTATTAAAAGGGGGGAAAAAAGTGTTTTACAGTAATTATGCAGGTTGGGTTTTTTCCCCCCCTTAGCTGCATTTTACAAATTCTTTTTCACAATTTAATTGCAAGGGGTTTCAGTCCATGACAAGTTATGAGTTGTTAAATGCTTCTAAATGTAGAATATTTGCATTTAATTTTAAAGCAGGGTTTCGGTCTAGAATCAGTTACTTGGAAAAATATTTTCTCTCTGCAAGAAAAAGAGATTGATATTATATTCCTACCATTTTGGGCTTGTTTATAAGTTTAATAACTTATTTGTTTGCATGGGAGCAGCCCCCCACCTGTTTTTTAAATTTCAAATATGGAATATTTTTGAAGAAATAAGGATTCTTTTCATTGTTTTTTATACTTTTTTTTCTCTCCAGAGAGCCCTAATATTTTGCTATAAATTAATGAATGAAACGGCATTCTGGAAAATATAAGTTTCCAGTGCCATTTCAAATTTTTATGCCAGGGAGGATGAATCTTCTATGTGCCTAATTGGATAGAATAATGGGAACCATTGGTCTAATTTTCCATCTCTTTGCATATAACTAAAAGCATTACATTTTTAGGAGCACAGTACTGGTTCAAGTTGATTGCGCAAATTAAAACCAACAAAACACAACTGTTCTCCAGAATCCAAAATTATGAGAACAGAGCTAATTTAGCATATCACCAAAATGTTATTGGATGACACAATAGATCACATTTTGGTGTTGCTTCTTCTAGATCAGGGGTGCCAAACTCACGTCGTCACGGCGGCATTACGTGTCGTATCTGGACTTTACCCCCCCTTCGCTAAACTGGGTGTGAGCATGGCCAGCATGTGATCCATGCGGCTCGCAGGCCACGAGTTCGACAGCTCTGTTCTAGATGGATTCTCTATCGCAGTGTTTCTCAACCTTGGCGACTTTAAGTCCTGTGGACTTCAACTCCCAGAATTTCCCTGGGAAATTCATTCTGGGAGTTGAAGTCCACAGGACTTAAAGTCATCAAGGTTGAGAAACACTGCTCTATCTACTGTTGGAATTGGACAGAAATCAGATTGCTTTTAATCTAATTAATCTATTTGGTTCTTGGGATTTTTGTCTCCACATTACTTGATTCTATTGCATCCAAAACATCTAGTTACTCTTTATTTCCCTGTTCTAAGCACATTAGTCTTTAATCAAGTTCCGTATAGTTTGAAAATGTTATCAT